AGTGTTTGATTGATATTTAGCATACTGATATTGATAGTTTATTTAATTAATAAATAATAATTAATAATTTAATTGATACTTTATTAAAATTTATACATTCAAACATCGACATTTTTTCTTTGGATGACACTCATTATCTTGATTTGCACTACCACCAGATTCACACGATGTAGTTTCTAAAGAGCAACGAGTTCAGCCTAAATTATAGTTTTGATTACACGAAATTATTATTTATGTATTATTATGTATTATTAGATTGCATCCATTTACCAAATTTGAAATTGACAAGCATTAAAAAATGGCTAGATTTATAATAACAATTTATGCACTCAAATATAACAAACTAATTGATTAATAAGTTCGATTTAAACAGAACGTTTTGCATAGCATAAAAAGCTAAGCAATTATTTATTATAAATATGTCCAATATCCTTAACTCATTTTACTGTTCTATCCTTATTGTACATGGAGACATTTTATCAAAAGTTAGATTCTCATATACAAAACCTCTCTGAGCGATATCGTTCAAAATACACAATAAAACAAGAAACGTATGATGATATGATAACAGTTTTGAAATATAGTAAGGTAATGCACAGTTTAAATTTTGGGTTAAGAAGAATTTTAAATTAGTGAAAATTGGTGATGTTGACGTGGTATATGGTATCAAGAGTAACCATCCTGTTGTTGTGCATGAGCAACTGTGTACAAAAATTAAGGAATATCACGAACGTGTTGGTCATCATGGACGGGACAAAACCTGAAGCGAAGTACGTTTTCAAGGTAATTAAAACTAAACCCATGTTTGAATGTATAAATTTTAATAAAGTATCAATTAAATTATTAATTATTATTTATTAATTAAATAAACTATCAATATCAGTATGCTAAATATCAATCAAACACTCTTTAGGGGAATTTAAAATTGCCCTATAGGGGAAGTCAAAATTTTGATTTCAACTGGCATTCTTTCAGGAGAACTCGAAATTTTGATTTCTCCTAGTGCAACTCAAAATTTTGATTTCTCCTAGGGGAATTTTAAATCGCCCTAGATTTTGATTTCCACTGCAACATGTATAAAAGAACGAAACAATATCGTATTCTAGAGTAAGATAAAATAAAAAATAAAAACTTTGTAAAATTCAATACAATGTTTTATCTCTTTCTTGTATATTTTCTTAACTTCAAAACAAAACGGTGATTGATTCACCACCAGTAGCGTGTCACAAAACACGATGGTCATACAAAGTAAGTTCTAATGTAATTCTTCTTCTAAAACTTTTACTAAATGTCATGCATGTTTCTTAAGTTCTAATGGTTCTCTTAATTTATCTCAACAGATTTTCAAAACTCGCCGAATATTATGTTGTTGACACAGATGGGGAATGGTCAAGATTTCTAGCGGAATGTCTACCTCTGCGAACGAATGTTCATTAGGTTCGAGACATTTTCCGCAAACGGCACTCTGCGTTCTTTTCTGTCTGATTATTCCACAATATTTGACTCACCCCCATATGAGACAATAAACTGAGCGTACTTAAAAGAGACAATAATATGTAGTTTTAAAAGAGATGATAAACTCCGACGTTTAAATTGAGACAACGAATCTTAGTATTCTAAAAGAGATAATAACGTCAAATGCCCTAGTTGAGATAATAAAATGAGACAAAATAGTAAATTCAAAAGAGATAATAAATTTTAATTAGAATAATAGAATATTAAAAGCAATATATGTGACTTTTGTACACTGTGTATAATTACGCATCTATAGGGTGGTAAATAATATTATTCAAGGGGGGTAACGCTATAATTCTAAATCGGAGATATGTTGAATTTTATACCAAATGAAAGCCCGTGAAAAATGGGATTTAGTGATGCTAAATAGTAAGACTTTGAAGGACTTTCGTGCATTGAATTATCAAAAGCTACGACTTCTTACACAGCGGAAAAGCTGCATTGGGTAATTGAAGATAAAGGTGAATCTTGGATCGGTCAATATTTTCGTGACATCATTTTAATGCAACACGTATGTCCATTCCTCAACGACGAAGAAAATGTAATTAATCCGGATAATGTGATATTTGTTCATGATACAGCACCATGTATGCGAGCAAATATGACTCAACATTTGATTCGAGACAGCAACGTCAAGTTTTGGGGTAATGATATTTGGCTTGGTAATTCGACTGATCTCAATATGGCAGAACATACTGAATCAATAATCAATGATGAAGTTGAAAAAAAATGTTATCGGAAACGGGACATAATCGATATCTTGAAGACACGCTCAAAATGCATATTGAAAATGTTTTTGTTGGCGATGATCATGGCGACTGAGATGGAATAATGATACCATTTTTTAACATTTTATCTATTTCTTGTTGAATGTTCTTTCGTTGTTCAACGGGCTTGAAGTATGGTTTGGCATTGATCGGAGGATGATCGCCGGTATTGATGACGTGATGAATCAGGGTCTTGATTGTTCGTGGTTGATATGTGTCGAATAGTGCTCGATGATGTTGTAAAACACTTGTTAGTTGAGCGTGCCGTTGTTCATTGTCGCTCAGATGCTGAGAGAGTGTGTCAATACGCGAAAGCGCGAGTGGAGGATCGTTTGAATTGTGATCTTTGTAATCCTGCTGTATCGGTTGTTCACTTGCAATCATCGTAGAGAAGTATGTATTCAGTGATAGGCGACTAATCGCGCCCAGTTTCATGTTCTTCTGGAGTGTAACCGTTGTGGTTGTTGGATTAAAGAGGGTTAACCGGAAGTTGTTGTCGTTCACTATTACCAAGCCATCGTATATTTGAATCCGGTTATTTTGTTGTGTTCTCCTGTCGATGGCCTCAAATAAAATGTTGTTAGCATTTCCAATTTCGGATGCTGTGACGTTCGCTACATATTCACTTTTTGGCTGTATTATACATTCTTGGGCTAATCGCACACTGCTGGGTTTCTGCAAGTCGAATTTCACTGATACTCGCCGTTGTCGGTAGTGAATATTGAGACACTCTTGTGCTGATCGGATATCTACTTTGTACTGCCGTATGAAATCCAGTCCTAAAACGAAATCGGCCACCAAGCTATCGACCACCATTGCTCTCACCAGACATTTAAAACCATTTATTTTAACCGAAAGGAAAACCATTCCGCATCGGTTTATTTTTGCTTTTGCATCGCCCAACGTTACTTCTCCTGGTTGACCATAGATCTGATGTTGCTTACTGAGACTTGTGGTTTTCAGCAATCGAAAGACAATAGTTTAGCCTATATTTTTATAAGCAAAACTGTTTCCAGACATTACATTAGAAAGAACGATTTTATAGGAGATGTTTCGAAAACCAGTCGGATTTCCAGAAACTGAGATATCAATCTATCAGTTTTTATTCATAGTTCAAAGCATCTTCTCTAAAATGGAAACTAAGCGAACTCTTCGGTATGGTAATGCCAGAACGGAATGGAAACATAGGTAATCGACCACGCTGAATCTTGCGGAAACATGTATGTTTCAAAAAGTTTCCAACACCTAGTGAAAGCCTATACTAGCGAGTTTATCCATTTTTGCCCACTTTTGAGCGAAATTAGAAAATTCATAACCCGGTCAAGATCGATGCACAATAGCTCAAATACCGCGCTCAGCAACCGATGCCAATATCAAGTGACACTTAACATTATCTTGTTGCCACATGAGAAGCAAGTGTACAACTGAGATACATAGCAGAAGGAAAACTACTAAAAGCAAAACAAAAACGAAACAGAACGAACACCCATTTGAAAACTACACTCTCGTAACACATCACAATCGAAACGGATCACAGAAATGCTATTCTGTTACGGCTCCCATGGGAAAATTTTATCGACTTTCACGCGTAAGGGACCGTGAAATGTCAGCTTGGACTTTCACGAAATTTTGTAGGTAAAGACAGCAAGTTTCACAACAGTTTTGTCGTGTTGTTGCAACATCACACGCGTGGCTACGCGTGAAAAA